GGGCATTTATTTTGTTTTGTTTGTTTTTGTGGGTTGTTTAACTTTTTTATTATTATTTAGGTTTCCTTTAAAAAATAGTTTTTATCCCTGCCCAAAAGTGGCCAAAAGTCTGACGAGGCACCTAATCTTTCTCCTTTGAAATGATAGGTCCTGTGTCAAGTGGAGCATACTATATCTTCCACATTAACGAATATTTCGGTATATCATTGTTTGTTTGTTGTTGTTGTTTTGACCATTGTAACGTAATAAAGCCGTTAAAAACAAAAGCAGAAACACAAGAAGATGATAATAATAATGAAAGAACAACATTAAAATGCCTCAAGGCGTTACCTTATCTGAAGTCCATAATGTCTTGTATTCTGCTGGACCAGAATTTGATATGCCGGTTGCCACTTAAAGGGAAGCCAAGTTTTCTCAATATTCTATTAATGACTCAGACAAAATTAATCTAACTGTATGGGATCGAAAGATGATTTAATTAATCAGACTTTCCTTGAGCGCTGTCGAGCAGAAAGGCCGTAGGAAGGTGGTTCTCGGCTGATGCGGGCCGGTGGTTTGAGAGCGTCTCCGGTTGGTCCTAACTTTTTTCTCTCCCCTATGTTGTTTCTGTCTGTCAGTCCTTTTTTTTCAGTGTGCTTCTCTTTTTTTTTTATTTAGTAAGGTTTTACCGCATGGCAACTGCATAAGGTCATATGAGCGCCAAGGAATGGATGTCAACAGAGAAGTACAAACGAGGGAATCGGACTTACTCTGCTCACCTCTCAAGCCTCAACAGCACAAAATCCACTTCGACTATCAAGGCACCCTGGAGATAGCAGTTCACAAGAGAGTGACAAACATTCAAAAGAAATAGAAGGGAAATGACGATAGTAAGGATTAGGAAAGAAAAAGCTGCAGTTCCACCTATGTTGTTCCGGCACAGATGAGCATGACATTGATAAATCAGCACATTTACCATTCTACTTTGCATAAGAACATGTTAATATCCCCCCTTTGGAAATGGCCTAAAGACAACTTCAGTCAGTAGCACTGCCCTGGTGGGGTGGGGGATGTGCTTCTCTGTACTCACACAAACAAAGCTTGTGCTGTATGACGCCTAGGGGGCAATAGGTAGGCTCATGAATTTGTTAGCGAGTTATTTATCTTGTTTGTGTTGTGAGTGGAGGGGAAAGGGGGGAGGGTAAATTTGCTTTAACTGTAATGTCTCTGTTTGTTTGTTGTTGGTTATTTTTGTTTGGTTTTTGTTTTTTTGCTGTTTTGTTGCTGTTGTTGTTGTTGTTTTGTTTTGTTTTGTGGGAGGGG